TTGGCGTGTTGGGTCCCAGGTCGGTTCGTGCGTAGGTTTCGAGTGTTTTGGGGTCCTTTTGTTTGGTATCGTTCGGTGGTGTTTGTCTGGTATGGTAGTGTGGCTGTTGGTTTTGCTTTGCGTGGTTTGGTGCTGGCGCCCTCGGTTGGCGAGTCTCGGAGGTGAGGGCTGGAGTGGGGTCGTCACGGTCGCGAGTCGTGGTGGTGCGCCGTGTGTGGATGGTGTTTTGTGTGGTTGATGTGTTGAGGTCGTCGTGTGGCGGCCAGGATTTGTTCGGCGTGTGTTGGTTCGGGGGCTTGTAGGTGTAGGGGTGGGACCCATTCTACGCTGTCGTGATTGGTGTTTTTGTTGGTTTCCGTCCCGTAGGTTGTGCATCGGTGTGTGATTGCGGGTGCGAACGTACGTCTTTTCCTTTTGGTGCCCAGGAGCCGCGTTTTCCGGATGGTTCGTGGCTGAGGACGCGCATGCCGAGTGGAGCGATGGGGGTTGCGTTGAAGTCGAATCGGCCGTGGAGTGCTTCATAGGCGGACAGTTTGGGGTTGCGTCGACATGGTCGAAGGAGATTGAGGGTCATCTCGGCCTGAGGTAGGAGCTCACACCAAAGGTTCATTGGGAAGTCTGGATCGGTAGTAGCGAGGACGGAGAGGAAGTGGTTCTTGAAGGTGCGGATGGCCCGTTCGGCAGCGTTGCGTCGATGGGTGTTGGGTGGTACTAGTTGTAGTCGTACGGTGTTGGTAGACAGAAAATTCTTCAGCGTGGAGGAGCATTCGTTGTCGAGCGTGTAGAGTTGGGGTTTGTGCCCACGGTGGACGAGCATATCGTGGATGTCCTTGTAGGCGGCGAGAATGGTGGGGCCCTTGCGGTTGGGTAGTGGCCGGACGATGATGTTGTTAGAGTCGTAATCGTACAGGAGGAAAATGTATTGGTGACCTCGGTAAGATGGGACGGGGAAGCGGCCGGTTTGGTCGCTGAAGATCTTACCATCGTCGGTGTTCCAGATTGCTGCATAGCATTGATGCGTCGGTTGTTGCAGAGGGATTTCATCATTGTCGATGCTTGGTTGGATTGGAGAGTTTGGTTGGTGGGTGTTTTCGATTTGCAGGAATGGAGATTGTGGTGATTTTGGTTGGGTGGAGTGTTTGTTTTTTCGTGTTTGGTCGAGGTGGCCCTTGGCAGTTGCTACTGTCTTAGGCGTCCAACGCTTGAGTGTCGCGGCTGTCAGGCCTGGGAATCCATGCACGAATCCTTTTTCAAGTGCTTGGAGGAGCGTTGTGGTGTTCGGAGAGCCAAGCGACGCATGTGCGAAGCGGACGAGCTGGATTCGTGTGTCGGTTGAGCTGTGATTTGCAGCATGTGGATGAGTGTCGGTACATGTGCTGGAGGAATCGTGGGAGGCGGCCAGGTCTGGTGGTGTTGTCTTTGGTTCTGGGATTGCCGCTGAGTGAGGGCATGGGAGCATGCCGGGAATGTTTTTCGGAGTTGTTGTTGTTGTGTTTGTTGTGTTGGGATTGCGTGGTGAGGGGAGGTGTCAGTCGGTAGGTGCCACAATCCATTCGTGGTGCAATTGCGGTAGCCTTTGAGTATGGTTGTGTCAGTTGGGTTGTCTGTTATGGTGAGATCTGTGCTGGTGAATGTGGCGGTGCAGTCGGTATCACAAATTTGCCCAATCGATATTAGATTGCTATCGAAGTTGGGGAACAGTTTGATTTTGGTTGCTGCTGGAGGTAGGTTGGCCATGGCCAGTTCGGCGGTGTGTGTGTTGCGTTCGTATGTGTTGTTTGGCATCTTGACGGCGATCGGGTTGGGGTCCGGTTGCTTGTTGCGCATGGTGGTGTCTCTGGTGGTACCGTAGTGTTGGTCGGTGCCTGTGTCTGCTATGTTTGTGGTGAGGCGATCGGTATTCGTGTTGTTGGTCTGGTTACTGTCATTACTTTTACTAATTTTACGATTATTTTTTAACGACTCCTCTCCTTCTCAGGGAGTGAGAGTGCTGGTGCCACTGCCGGTTGTGCTGTCGGTAGTGGTCGTGTCTGTATCGTCAGTGGTGGCACTGTTGGCGGCGTTCTGGTCGCGGTTGTTGGGGCGACGGGTTCCGTTGTTGTTGGGTTGGAACTTGAAGATGGCGGTTTCGCCGGGCTTGCGTTTGACTTGGCAGCGTCCGCCAAGCATGTTGAACTGTGTTGCCTTTTCGAACGTTGTGGTCTTTGTGGCGGTTGCGACAAGTGAGACTGGTGTGGGTTAGGTCCCATTGGACTCCGTGGGTCCAGCAGTAGGCCATGGCGTTGCCGGCCATGTCTTTGACAAAGTATGGCGCTGCTGTTGGTGTTGGCATTGTTGGCTTTATGCTGGTCGTGGAAGCCTGCTTGTTTGGTTGTGTGGAGCGGAGCGTTCGGGTTGGCCGGCGCAAGAATGCGGAAGTTGGTCCCATGTTTCGGTCGCTCGGCTTTGTTTGCGCCATTCTTTGAACTAACGAAAAACGCCGCTGTTTCCAATTTTTAAGTGCAGAGGATGGAAGGCTCTTTCATGATGTTGTTCATGGTCGCGTGCGAAGGACGCATCGTGATCTGATGGAAGAAGCCGGTCGATGGGCGTGTTGGTTCCATTGGGCATTCAGCGGTCGATGTTTGTCAAGTCGTCATGTGAGGGTCCATACTGTCTGAGGGGACAATGAGGTCATTGTAACGCATTGGAGTACTCTATCGTCGGGACTTGGAGCGACTGTATAGACTTCGACGGCTTCCATGGTCCTTGCGTAAAGGCCTTTTCGGTGGAATTGAAGACTGGAATCGGTGAGGCATACTGTGCGAGACCAAGCGCGGATTTGGGTCCGGTGCTCCCACAGGGACATCTGGGCGGTCCTGGATGGATGGGCGACCCATGGTGTTCCGGCTACTGCAGGCCTTCATGAACCTGTCTAGGGGTAGACAGAGGCAAGTTCCTCATGTGCCATTGCCTGCGGAGCTATGATCTGACGTCATGTCTTTGTTGCTTTTCTAGGCGTTGATTGCCGGCGGGGGGGCGGCCAGTGAGCTGGGAGGAGTGTATGAAGTCCGATCGATCATACTGTGGTCGTCAGGTGGTAGGTGCGTGTGCTGGGTGGGTTGATGAGATCAGAGCCGTGATTACCGGGCTTGTCGGTAACCGGGGTTAGGAATGCTTCTAACTATTGAAGTCAATAACTCTATAGGGTTAACGGAGGTTAGAAACAATTATGAGCATTGGCTTGGGCGTCCCTTCAAAGCCCGTTGTCATTGGTAAATGACCGTTGGGGATCTGCCGGATCTACATCTATGTGACGGTCCCGCGAGCCGGCCAGTCAGGCTGGTTGGCTTGGTGGGACGTGCTTCTGGTGGATATAAGGGTCAATGTCGCAGTGGTATTGGGACTTTAACACCAGGTACAGTAGTTCTTTTCCTCTTCGTCCCCCATGCTTCACGTCTCTCCACTGTGTTGGGCCCCAACTACCATAACGGCACGGTACGGATAATAAGGATTTGATTTCATCATTCGCAATCTAGCTTCTGAGGATGGTTTCAAAAGAGACAATTTATTTACATGCGGGGGGGGATTTTTTCTGGGAGCTAAGTGAATGTACAAACCCTTGATGTGGCAATGAGAAAGTGGAATGAAATTCAAATCAGACCCCTTCCATCTGTCTCCATTACTGCGCCCACTTGGTCACTGTTACTGAGGGATGGTTCCTGTCTTTTTGCAGGTGACTTCTTGTCGTCGCTGCCCAAAAAGACGTTCATTTGCTTTCCTTGCGCCACGCCTTGGGCCGGGTTATCAAGTCTCTGTCGTTTGGATGCGGTTTCACCTTCATTGAATATATTGCATCTCTTGGGCGCCGCTGGCCGTGCTGGAGCATCTCCTGCTATAGCAACGTGACCATACTGCGTGTTTTGTGGTTGAGTGGATGTGGTAATAACACCCGTCAAAGATGAGCCTCCTGGGGTATTTGTCGTCACCTGCTCTTTCAGTTGTTTCACATCTGTGCCAAGTGTCCTAACAAGCGTTCCCATTTGCAATATGATCTGTTCTTGTAACTGAAGTTTACCAGTAAGTGCTTGAATTTGCTTTTTCTTGTTGCCGAGCCGTGTTTGTAGATTGCTTTTGTTGTAAATCAAGTCTACAAGAAAGTGCTTGAATGTGACGTTCTTGAAACAGCACCACCTCAGTCAATGTTGGCACAACTCCTTGTTGCTGATGTTGGCCATCACCATGGTTCGGGGTGGTTGTCCGGTGACGCACCAATTGCTGTTGTTGGCCTTGTATGTTGCTATTCGCCCGTTGGCGCAATTGATCCAAAGCTCAAGATGAGCCAATTCCTGTCCTCCCCTTGATTGATCGTTGCTGTTACTGTTTTGGGTTGTATTCTTGCTGTGGATTGCATTCTTGTTTTGCACTCTATTCTTGTTTTGGAGGATTCCTGTACCATCATGGACTTCCTGTTGCTGTTGTTGTTGACGAAACTTGCTGGCTAGCTCATCAATTCGTGTCCGAATTTGGCGGCGTTGGGATTCTGCTGACCATTGTTAGCAGTGTCGCGCCCTTCTGGTTGTTGGGACTGTGCATGTTGGTGCCTCTGAGGGGGGCCTTGAGGAGATGCTTGCTGTGTGTGGGCAGTCTGTTGTTGTGGTTCGCTCCGCTGAGCCACAGCAGTAGCTCCTGCAGTAGGAGCAGGCTGTCGCCCACTTTCAATTGCCGACACTTGGGCTTGGTTCTGCTTTAACGAAACTCTGATAAGCTCATCGTTTAGCTGCTTTTGGACAGTCTGTTGTTCTGCTATGGCATCTCGTGTTACCCGAACCCTCACTGCACCGGTGGAGATTAACAAAGAAACAGTCTGTTGTTGTGGTTCACTCCTCTGGGCCACAGCATCGTGGACTTCCTGTTGCTGTTGTTGACGAACCTTGCGTGCTAGCTCGTCAATTCTTGTTCGAATTTGGCTGGCGCTGGGATTCTGTTGGCCATTGTTAGCAGTGGCATGCCCTCCTTGTTGTTGGGGCTGTGCATGTTGGTACCCCTGAGGTGGGCCTCGAGGAGATGCTTGCTGTGTGTGGACAGTCTGTTGTTGTGGTTCACTCCTCTGGGCCACAGCAGGAGCAGACGGGTGCCCACTTTCAATTGCCAACACTTGGGCTTGTTTCTGCTGTAACGAAGTTCTGATAAGCTCATCGTTTTGCTGCTTTCGGTTGCTGTTGGCCTTAGAGGAGAAGACGGCCTTTGTATGTAACCCTTGGATCCTTTCTTTCTGTTGTTGGCGAGGCACGTTGAGAGTTTGAGGATCTCTTCTTCCACGGCCTTGTCTTCATCGGGGTGTAAAATACTCGTTAGTTTAACAAACTATGGCCACGGAGTGGCTTTTGTGACGCGGGCAATTGGTGGGGAAGCCCCCACCTAGCTGAGTCGTCATCTACTTATTTGCCCAATCAACATGACCTCCAAAAGTCCACTGCCCAACGATGGAAGCCAGCACCAAGTTTAAATTGATAGTAATCAAGACCAGAGTGCCCTGGTAGGGGTGATGAGCACCTGATAGGGAACCTGCAGCGCAAATCCTGGGTTACGGAGGGCTTACACAGGATTTTTGTCGGTATTGAAACCATAATTTCACCAAGGGACCGTGATGACCAGTTAGATTCCAGACCAAAGAGTGCTCGCCAGTAAGTGTGTCTGGGTGACCAGGTCCCAAACTGTGGCAAGGCCTTGGCTGCAAGGCAAGATGCCAGCAGGGCCGTAGGAGGTGGTACTCCTCAGTTGGACCAGAGCAGGGTGTCCCTCCATGCACAAATAATTGTTAGATATGGCAACACAGCGCAGAAATGGGGTCAGGAACACTGGTCAGTGTGTGGTTCCCAGGAGGGGGCACAGTGGGTGCTGGAGTGTTGTGGGGCTGTTCGAGGGGTTGTTGAGTCAATAGAAGGAGGATAAGGGGCACTGGAAGTGGGCTGTGCCAGGGGCAGGGGGGAGATCCTGTTGGTGTTTGAGTGTTGTTGTAGGAGTTGGGATGTAGCATGGTTGAGTGTGTGTTGTAGGATAGAGGCGTGCCTCTGTTCAAGGGTGAAACAAAGGGGATCCTCCCCGGATAGGTAGGGTGTGATTCGGAAGGGTGTGATCCCAAGATGGCTGCATGCTCTAGGAGCTGTTGGCTGATCATCTGGGAGTGGTGTTGTGTAGTTGCGGAGGATGGTGGATGTGGTTGGTTTGGTGAAGTGTGGGAGTGGGGAAATGGTCCTGGGGAGGAGGACCTCGGGCTTGGGTTTGAGTGAATAGTGGGTAGACATGGGGAAGTTATGGTGGGTGGTGTGGTGGGTTGGTGGGAGAGTTGTGTATCCTGGATATTGACTGTAGTGTCGTTGCTTCAACGCAAGCAATGGAGGTTGCTTGTGAGGTGGCGAGATGATTGATGTAGAAGGTGTATTCAAGGGGCAATGCACTGAGGCACTGGTAATCAAGGTTTATATCAAGTTTGTTGGGTTGTTGTTTGCCACTGGATCAAAGGTGTGGCCAAGTCTGTGTAGTATACACTACCTGCGGGAAGATGTGTATCAGAGCCAAAGTGTAGGGATTCTTTCAGGGGAAACTGGAGAAGTCACGCTATAGCCAGTAGAGGCAGTGGTGGGGGATCAAGGGGTTTGTTGGTTGATGGCTGTGTACTGTTTGACTTGTTGTCTCAAGGCTGGTACTCAATCTGGTGAAGGATACCACAGATTTCAGCAGAGAGTCAAGCAAGATGTGGAGAGGGTACTCGATTCAGTGGAACTGTGGAAAGTCACTGGAGAGTCACTCAACAATCAATGAGAGAGAGATAGAGTCATACCCCACACCCGCAGTTCTGTCTGGGGCTCAATCCTTTGGAGTTCCAGCACTCAGTAGGAGAGCAGGGCAGTAGCAGAGAGGTGGCTGTTTCAATGGGTGTTGCACAATCTAGCCAAACACGCTAGAGGGGCAGCTTTTGTAGTGTTTGTCGGTGAGATCCTTTGGAGAGAGCTGGTATCCCAGGGAGGGGCTGGAAACTAGCAAATTCAGCCAAGCCTGGAGATACAAGAACTCAAGTCCTTACAGGAACTCTGTTGTTGTTTGTTGTTCCTCTTGGAGAGAGTTAGATATCAATGTATGAGTGGTAACAGTAGCAGGTGTCGATCAGTCAATCAGTCTGTATAGGGATAGGACTGGTTGGATCAGTAGGATCAGTTCCAACAAGGACGTCGGGAGAAACCACTAGTGGCGGTGAGAAAGTAAGAATACAGGTGTAATTCTCTTCTGGGTGGTCACTGCAGGTATCTCGTGAAGTCCTTCTTGATGATAGAGGCTGTCGTTCGATCCGTACGGAGGAAGAGGTACGGAGAAGAGGTACGGTCGCGCGATTCGGGTGAGTCAGTTGCCTTAGGGGTAAGGTTAACTGATCCTGCGGAGGGAGATGGATCGTTCGAAGAAAGGAGGAGCGACAATGGGATTTCTTCGGCCGTCAGGAGCTTAGTTCAGAAAGCAACAATGACACGTAGTTGTTTTCTGTACTGTGCTGTGGAAGCCGGAGACTTCTTCTTGTGGTCAATTCTTAGGATCAGTTCCAACAAGGACGTCCCAGAGTGGCGGTGAGAAAGTAAGAAATACAGCTGTGTTTCTGTTCTCGACGGTCACTGCAGGTATCTCTGAAGTCCTTCTTGATGATAGAGAGGCTGTCGTTCGATCCGTACGGAGAAGAGGTCGGAGAAGAGTACGGTCGCGGGAAGTCGATTCACGGAGTAGCGAGTCTTGGATCGATTCGATTCAGAGATCGATTCGATTCGCGATTCGATTCGAGTCAACGTCACCGGTTGCCTGAGGGTGAGGTTAACCGAGCCTGTTGTTGTGGAGGAAAAGATCGATCGTTCGAAAAGAGGATCGACAATGGGATTTCGATGGCCGTCAGGACGTGCAGCGAGAAAACAACAAATAGATATGGGAGTTGTTTTCTGTGCTGTTGCTGGGGAAGACCGGTGCTTCTTGTGTTCAATTCTTCCAACTTGGCCGTCGGGGTCGAGAATAGAAAACCCGCCCATCTCGTAGGATTTCAATTGGGATGGCTGTTCTAATCTGAACCGGGGAAGGCCGCTTTGATAGTCGCTTGATAGGAGAGGTGCGCTTGATAGGAGATAGGAGGTATCGATCCGTTTCGGCTTGAAGGGGTTGTAAAGAGAGGAAGAAAGGATGTATGTTTTCCGTGATGACGTTGAGTGGATTCCTATAGTAAAACAGTACTCTTCAACAAATAACAGATAACAAGCTCCTGAGGTCCTTTCGCTCGTTTCAATGCTTCTAATGGTGCTAATAGGTAGTGTAATGGTATAGGTATGACCGATTGGTTGTGTTGCTATTAGTGTTGTTGTTCTTGTAGTGACAGATCCAGAGTGGAAGCGCTTCGGTTTTCGGCTTCCCTTGAAAAAGTACGGCCTTGTCTTCATCTGTGTCATCCTGTGAATGATCAACGTAGTCTTCGTCTGAGTTATCGTTGGCACGCACCGCCTCCTTGGAATTGTTTCTACTAGTAGTTGATTGATGCTTGCTCTGTGCTGGATTATTGGGCTGTTTGTGTGATGATGTTTTCTCTTCAATTACTTCATCAAGCTCTGCTTCTGATAGATCTTCTTCATCACCATCTTCGTATTCCACAGAATAGTTCTCTCCATTGAAATCCACCACTTTCCCGCGGAACCATCCGTGTCCAGGAAAGTGCTTTCTCACTTTGGTTCCGTTTGGATACTTTGGCTTTTGTTGCTCGTCTTCCTTTTTGGCCTCATTGGCAGTACTATGATACTGGTACTGGTACTGCTAGTATCATTCGCCTGCACCTCGCGGTAAAAAGCCCATTTTGATTGAAAGGGAGTAAAACTGACGATTTGACTTAGGCATAAATGACTTTCAAAGGAGAATAGTCTGATAATTGTCTGAAGAGAAACCATCCTTCCATCAGACAGTGGTGAGATAACTGTCAGACGATTGTCAGACAATCACTAAATCTTTCTTCAGACAATCGCTA